TTTCTTCACACACACACACACACACACACACACACACACACACACACACACACATATATATATATATATATATATGTATATGTATAGCACAGGTAATAAATCTGTTGGCATATAATCCAAGTGGATCCTAGTAATATAAAATATTAAAACTGATCCACAAAAAGAGCTCAATGTATTTATTATAACAGAGCCAATAAATACTATTACACAATAAAATCCCTCTCCTTATACATGTGTGTGTATGTGTGTGTGTGTGTGTGTGTGTGTGTGTGTGTATGTGTGTTAATAAATATACAGGGTGTAGCAAAAACATTTTTACAAACTTTGGGGCAGGTTCCTCACATTAAACAAGGACAAAAGTCTATATAAACATAAGTCTGCAAAACATTCGTCTTTGAGTTATTAAATTTAAAGTTTACGGTACCAACTTATTGTATTTGTGACAAAATCTCTATTGCGTTGTAATCGCCCCCTACCCCTCATCCCCCCAAAAAAAGAAAAGAAAAAACGCGTGAATGCACTTAGTTATACTTATTTAAAAATTATAAATTTATCCGTTGTACGTATGGAATTTTTTGCAAAACAAGCGTCCCAATTTAAGAGAGGTCACTAAATGGTCATTAAATGTTTGTTATATTTGTATAAAGGCTAAAAATAATGAAAGTATTATCAATAAAAAGCTAACGTTCAATAACATCAACTATGAACACGGTCACAATGTGCTGACCGTGTTTGAAAAAAAATTCCTATAACCCTAGATGAGTACGTAAGACAATCCATACATTCAGTTAAAAGTAAAAAATAAAGCCATCCTTTATAATGGCTAAAAGTATAGCCGAAAGCGTTCGGACATACAGAACATTCGGACAATGTCTGCATAATTTATGTCCAGAAAATAAGGAAATTATAAGAACTCAAAAAAATTAAATAAAAACTTAACCGCAGTACCTTGTTGGTCATTTTTAATGAAATATATATATATATATATATATATATATATATATATATATATATATATATATATATTAAACATTAAACAAAGCAATTCACGCAACAATATTACATTTCAAACCAGTTACAATTCATTTAAGCATATAGTTCTCTTCATAACATTTCTTTCTCTTAAGTAGTCATGTACGACGCCATAGAATCTCATTACGAACTTACGAGCTGCGTCTGCTATTCCGTGTCCGTTATCGTCGCATAGCAAACGTCTATGTAAGCAAAACAGTATGTCATCTTTTACGGTGCACATATAACCACTCTGATGATGGCTCATGTGATCCGAAAGCTTAAATAGAAGACGGCCAATATAATAAAGAAATATACAAATATTGGACAGTCTTTGTGTTTATTTTCTTTCGAAGCTAAAGCCGTTATACGACGCTTGGAAAGGCTCATGATAAAACAATAGACATTCGCTGTCTGTTATATTTAACAATATGTTTGAACAATCTCTCTCTCTCTCTCTCTCTCTCTATATATATATATATATATATATATATATATATATATATATATATATATATATATATGGTTCAAACACTAATATTCCATGGTTATAATTTATTACATTGGAATCGTAATCACGATCCAGTACTTCAGACCTACAAATTCAAAAAGTTTTTATAACCATGGAATAATAGTGATTGAACCTTTTATATTATATTCTTACTCTGTCCTGGACATTGAGTTCTACCTGGATTCTATCCTCTTGGAAATTTATATATCAACTATGTAAACAATGACAGACTATCATCACTGTCGTGTCCGTATATTGTTTAATATGTTTGTAATTTACATCTTTGATAATGGCTTAAGTAAGCCGAAAGCTTAGATTATATTAAAAAAATATGGATCAATATTGTGAATTTCTTTCTTCGTTTAATGATAATGTTATCAAACTTATCAGATGTTACGAACAGATTTTACATAAAATAAATAGACAACACTTGTCTATATTATTTAATGAAACGTTTATAAATATATATATATATATATATATATATATATATATATATATAGTGTGTGTTTTCAAATGCATTTTAAGCAAATATGTGTACAGTCGTGTATCTACATACGAAATAAGTGTTTCCATCGGCCTATGTCAGCTGACTATAAAAGTCTGTGTAATTGTCTATAAACACATTTCGTGCTATTATGGGATAGATTACATGACTTGTCCAATCAGTCTGTATTAACAGACGACATTTACCATTTTCTGTTTACTACATTTGATTAGCGTAACGAATAGCAATTCCTTCAGCACTTTTCAAACGCCATATTAGTCGGCCATGTTACACGGTCGCTTCTGGCGACTGCATTCAACTCCATGTCTCCGAGCTTGAAAGAAAGTCCGTACATGAGCTATCATATTGCTGCTCGGAATTTGCTTAATTCACAACTGATTCTATGTATTCACCTAACGATGGAATATCGATTCTTTGTCAGCAATGTTACCTTGAGAAAGCTTTACAAAGAACATTATAAGTCCACGGAGTATCCCGCTGCTGCACAAAGCGAAATTAGTTCAGGAATCTATAGAAGACAGAAAGCGTTAAATTCTCTGCCCGTAATAGTATCTGCGTATGACCTTGCATGTATGTATGTAATGTATATGCATATGTCTCTGGTGAGCGTACGTGACATATGTGCCGAAGATCACAGCCATATCACGTTGAAACATTGGTTCCCGTACGATAACCGAAGTTAAGCAACGTTGAGCCTGATCGGTACCTGGATGGGTGACAAAATTTGAATGAAATTAAAATGGACATCTGAAGATCGGAATGGTGAATTTCTGTTCTTGAATGAATATAAATCGAAATGTGACGACGAAAACAAGTTGGTGACTTAAATTCTCCAAGGACTTCTGCTTTTAACTAATATAAATATATGTAGGCTGAAATTTTAATTTCTCGAAATTTCATAAAATTAAGTAAGTGGTGGGTAACAAATGTAAAAAAAAATATTTTTATGAAGATTTTGGAAAATTATAAAATTTAAATCAAAATTTGTTTGTCGTTTTATTAAATTTTTGGCACGCTTTTGAAATTTTCGATCAAAATTTGTTTACCTTCCCAATAAGTTGCTGAAGTTAATGCAAGAATAAGAAGCCAAGGAGAGTAGCGTTTTCGCTTCTTACACAGAGTAAATATTCTTTCTAGGTCGATGAAATGCTCTAAAGGACATGATACGAAAACCATGTTGGATGCCAACTGCCACGCCAATAGGTATTTGGGAGGTGGGGTATATATCGTGAAACAAAAGAATGTTTCATGTATTGTGTGCCAGATCAAACAGTCTCCACATTATTGGACACGATTTGAAGCTGTATTTTACCTTGGACTACGATTATGTCTGATTGTTGGAAAGGATACACATTTTTGAAGGATGATCCCAATTATATTCATCTGACTCTAAATAACACTATGAATTTCGTTGAGCCAGAAACATTAGCTCACATGCAAACAATCGAAATTACCTTGCCAGGTTCGGGACTCATCGCTGCATGATAGACTTTTATGTGTTTAAGTTCCTTTGGAGACGTAAGGTAAAAATAACAATGAATGTATTTTTTAATAAATTTTATAGGACATTTCTGAATTTTGGTGTGAATTTTTTTTAAATATAAATTCTTTTTATTTTGGGAGGAATTAATATTTTGGGGTGAATTAACAGAAAAGATCCTAAGTGGCAAAAGAGCAGCAACCCATAATAATTATCCAAATACGAAAGTGAGGCTCGGAGTGAATAATGTCAGTTTTTAAGGAAATAAAAGTTTCTTATTGAATTCTTTCTTTGGAAAGCTTCTTAGTCATTAAAGGAGGTTTTTGACTGAAACCAAATTTATAATTTATTTATTCGGATCAAAATTTACTTTGCTAGTGGCATGATAAACTCTTCTTATTTGTGTGAGTTTCTTTGGAGGCGTAAGGCGAAAAATAACAATAAATATATTTTGAAGAAATTTTAAAGGACATTTCTGAAATTTTGGTGTGACTTTTTGTTAATATAAATTCTTTTTATTTTGGGTTGAATTAAGAGAAGATCTCTGATATCATTAATACACATGCAAATTAAATTAATTTAAACTAATTAAAGAGGAACAGAAGAAACATTAATTTTTTTTTTTAGCGAGGCTCGTACTCACGCAAATATAATTTCAGGCAGATTCGAGGAAATTCTTAGAATAATCCCGCAGTAAAAAAAAAAAAAAAAAATTAAATAAATATGGCGAAAGAACACATTTAAAGAATGTTTCATGTATTGTGTGCCAGATAGAACAGTCTTCAGATTATTGGACACAATCTGAAGCTGTATTTTACCTGGGATTACAATTATGTCGGATTGTTGGAAAGGATTATCCCAATTCTATTCATCTGACTGTAAATCGCATTATGAATTTCGTTGACCTAGAATCATCAGCTCACATGTGAACAATCAAAAGTATCCGGCGGAACGCCAAAATGGAAAATAAGTCCATGTTCGGTATACATCGCAGCATGATAGACTTTTATATGTTTGACTTCCTTTGGAGACGTAAGGCAAAAATAACAATGAATGTACTTTTTTAATAAATTTTATAGGACATTTCTGAATTTTGGTGTGAATTTTAGTAAATATAAATTATTTTCATTTTGGGAGGAATTAATATTTTGGGGTGCATTAACAGAAAAGATCATAGGTGTCAAAAGAGCAACATCCCATAATATTCCAAATACGAAAGTGAGGTTCGGAGTGAATAATGTCAGTTTTTAAGGAAATAAATGTTGCTGATTTAATGCTTTCAGTCGAAAGCTTCTTAGATTTTGTGACTGAAATCAAATTTATAATTTATTTATTCGGATCAAAATTTAGTTTGCTTGTAACGGATATTTAAAAAATATTCTTGTTTGGTTTTCCGGCGAGAACGAATCAGGTACCCGCTACAAAAATGTGAGGGTTTAATTGCTTTTGTTTTGACAATACTAGTCACATTAACAGTGAAGTGTTGATCTCTAGGGAGCAGAATGGCCTGACAAGAAGAAGAAAGGAGAAGGGCGTTGAGAGATTAGATCCTTTGGATTGGGGGAGGAACAAAGTAAAGGAAACGAAGAAAAAAAAATGTGTGGTGGTGGAGTGGGGAGATGAGACGGAGAGGAGGATGGGAAAGTGAGAGGCGAAGGGGAAAGAGAGGGAAAGAGACTGTGGACATAAGAAAGAGTAAGGTGAAATGGAAAGAAATAGAAAGAGACTGAAAAGAAGAAAAAAACAAAGAAGGGATAAAAAAAAGAAGGAGGAATAGAGAGAAGGAGAAGAAACAGAGGGGTAGAGAGGAACGACAGAGAAAGAGACTGGAAACATAAGAGAGAGGGAGGTAAATGGGAAAGAAAGAGAAAGAGACTGAAAAGAAGATAAAAAAGAAGGGCAATAGGCAGGAGCAGAAGAAAGGGAGAGGTGAAAGGGGACGAGAGAGAAAGAGAGTGGAAACTTAAGAGAGTGAGAGAAAGAGAGAGATTAAAGTGAAAAATGAGAGACAGAAACTGAAAATAAGGAAAAAGAAGGTGAAAAGGAAAAAGAGCGAGAGAAACTATGGAAATAAGAAACAGGGAGAAGAAGAAAGAGAGAAAGAGGCTCTAAGCATAAGAATGAGAGAGAAGGGGAATTAAAATGGAGTTATATTTCTCACAGCAGGAAACAAAGCCATTAACCCATCAATAAATTAACTGAGTCAGAAGATTTCAATGACGGAAATATCCGTCATCCGCAGTTAATGCTTTAATGTAGATTTAATGATTTCAAAATAACAGGTATAGGTTTCACAAAAAGCTAATATATGAAATTATTATTATAAAATTGATTACACACACACACACACACACACACACGCACACACACACACACACACACACACACACACATATATATATATATGATAAAAGTATAGTTTTAGGGTATGCAACATCTATGGGTAAAATAGCTCAATATCAGAGATAGAGCGTATGGAAATATAAATTAGACAGTGAGTCAAGCACCAGCAAATTCAGATGAAGATTGCGTTGAAACGTGTAACAGATTGTCGCCGCTTCATGCTGACCTTTGTATATATATATATATATATATATATATATATATATATATATATATATATATATATATATATGACGAACAAACGCTTAAAACATATAATATTTTTATTTTAAAAAATATTTTAAATCGTGACACGGAAATTTCTATGTTTCGGAACTTAAATCAGTTCCATTATCAAGCGATGTTGGGTAACTTTTGATGAAAATTATTTCTTTTCCAGTTGATTTGCATTAACCTTTTTATCTTTAGAAGCCAGGTATATTACTTCTGTCTTATCTCTTGAGGATGGATTCTTGCTTACGGCCACTGTCAAGGAAATCCCCCTCTCTATCAACAAAGATCGTTAACAGTCTGTGATTACAGTTTTTGGGAGCCAACAACTGATAACCGCGTGCTAAATCTCAGGAACCCATCCTCAAGTGATTCTTACTCAAAGTTTTCTGCAGCCCACTGCATTATTTTTAGTTGGGAATTAATATAAACAAAAAGTACTGATACCCATAAGAGACAAAATATCACTTTTTCTTTGCAAATCAATGAACCCAGGCGAATGAAGGGAATCATAACAACAAAGAAAAAGAAAAATCTATGGGTTTTTAAAATACTTGAAAACATTATGATACTATAACCAATTTCTATAGATGGAGACTTTAGATTAAAATTTCACGGTTAATCAAAGACACTCATAGAAAAAGAAAAATACTGCATGAAAAAATTAAAAAAATCAGCTTAGAAAAAACGTCACCATTTCATTGTCGATAAATTGTAAAACGATCTCAACGTTGAGCAAATATAGTTCATCAATATCAGTCAATGGGTTGAATCCTGAAACTGTAAAGGAAGATTCAAAATGGCTTCGCTCAAATCTCGTAAACGCCATTTTCAAGCCCTAGTGATGTAAGTTCTTCTTACGCCTTAATCTACTTTTGTAGGTCAGCGAGTTTTTCCTTCTCTTTTGTACTTTTTCATTTTTATTCATTCTTCTTGTTTCTTTTTTTTCTTCCTTCCAACCAGACTCATTCTTTTTTTTTTCTTTCAAACATTTATTCTCTATTTTTTTCATCATATCCTACCTTAATTCTCGTCTGTTTTTCTTTTCTTTTCTTATTCCCCATCTCATCGCTTTCATATTCTTCTAACCCACTTTTTCTGCTTTTCAACCTTGTATTCGAGAAAACTGACCCAAACTGGTTTCTACTGGCAAGAAGCAGACGATCATTTCTCTGTTGGGGATTTGTTGCACAAAACGGACTGGAAATACTAAATTCTTCGAGGAACGTCTTGTGGGCCTCTTTTTCTAGATTCTTTTTTTCTGGTTGCTGATGGACAATTGTTTCTGGTGGAAAATTCTTTAGCTGCTGGTCAATAGAATATCAAAATCTCTTTTATCTGTTTAGTGATGGTTCTGAAGCAGTAACCTTCATCTTAATACGAGAGAAATTATTTACTTCCTTTAGTGAGGTCAACAAACTTAAAACACATTAAATATTATCCTAAATTATATCTCAAAAGTTAACCCATTACCTGCCATGAGTCCCATTTGGGGATCTGTTAAAATTAAACTCTCTACACGTTATTCATTGTGTTTATATTGAATTCCTTAAATACATTGCATTTGCAGAGATGTATTTTACAACACTTTAAAGTTTTTATTATTAGCCGTAAGAAGACACTTTCTGCCGTAATTTTACATTACATTTAATGACTATTTTGAAAAGTATTTTTTTTATTATTTCTAATCAATATTATTTTTTGATGTTTTATACACATATATATTTGATGTTCTAGTTTCTATAAAAACGGCAATGGTAACTACTGAAATTAAGCATAAGGAATAAATAAACTCCTAAGACACCTGTCTGGGCCAAAAATGCGCATTAAAAAAAATTTGGCTGTTAATAGCTTAAACATCAAGCGGTTTATTATGCTTACTAACTGCAAGAAGTGTTTTTTTTTTAATTCATATGGAAAATCAAGGCATTTCAAAAAGGTTTTGGTGCAAACGATGGCGGGAAATAATAAACTCCCTGCAGAATCAAACAATTTATATTTAAATTTTCACCGGAAAGCAGGAAAGTTGTCCCAAATATAAAAAAAATAACAAAATAATAATAATAATAATAATAACAACTAAACTTAGAAGAAAATACATACCGTGTGTCCGCAAAAAAAAAAAAAATGTATTCACTTGACTGTGTGTGGAAAGGGGTGGTCATCAGCTTGAATATTTCTATTATTTCGCTATGCATTTAATTTCATTCAATATTTAATTTAAACTGCTGATCTTGTTTGTAAATCAATAAACGTCAATATTTCTTATTTTTAAATTGTAATGTGCCTTGCAAGTCAATAAACACTGCATTTACTCTCAGTTAAAGAGTACATTTTTGTGAAACCCTGTATATATATATATATATATATATATATATATATATATATATTATATATCATGAATTATTCACACAAAAACAAATGCAAAGGTTAATGATTTAATTATGAGAAATCCATCATCGCAAACAATTCAAATAATATACAAAAAACCTCCGAATCCGTTATGAATGAAAAGATCCTTGTTTCTATAAATTTCTGCCGTATTAGTTCTTATTTTTACTACAAGCTTTTGTCTGTTCCTACAGACATCTTCAGGTATAGAATAGATGTTGTTCTTGTTTTTTTCTTAGTAATAAGAGGACAACGAAAATATATGTATTGTTGTATCCGAAAATGCTATTGAAAATGAGTTATTGTTTTTGAGCGCGCAGTAGCAACGCTGAGTTTGATTTTAAATTTTTTAAAGTTGTGCGTTCATGTACAAATATGGTGATGAACGAATTTTTACTGGTAAATTTTCTGTCAAAGTGGCATGAACTATATTGTTCAATAATTACAGTAATGTCGCACTTATCCAAAAGTCGCACTTGGATCAGTTATTTTAATTACGATAAACGTGCAATCAATTTACAAGTTCATGAATTATTCACACAAAAATATATAAATCTTAAGTACTTTATCCCATAAATAAAGCACAACTTAAAACTATATTTCTTCATATATATATATATATATATATATATATGAAAAAAATATTGAACTTTTTATCCCATAAATATAGCACAACTTAAAACTATATTTCTTCATATATATATATATATATATATATATATATATATGAAGAAATATAATTTTAAGGTGTGCCATATTTATGGGATAAAGTGCTCAATATCAGAGATGGAGCGTATATAAATATAAATATAAATATAAAAGTGAACATTGAAGTCAACACTCAGAGGCGACATGCTGTTTCCTGCTGGACGTACACACACACACACACACACACACATATATATATATATATATATATGTGTGTGTGTGTGTGTGTGTGTGTGTGCGTGCGTGTGTGTGCATGTGTGTGTGTGAGTGTATTTCATTGAATGATATACATCACAACATTATCAAGATGTCTTACACTTCATTTGTAGCATACAAGTTCTATCGCTAAACATCTGAAAACACATTCCTGTCCACCTTCGCAATACAGGAAAATACTTGTTGACAACGCCATTATACTACATTATGAAAATAACAAACAAAAACCTCAAATTCAAATTATCGAGGCATTCAACAAAATTTATTACGAATATAGCAACAACATATTAAAGTGCATATAACATTTAATGTCATATTATATTTCCCATAATTTCCAGCCAGCTTCCTTATATTGAAACGCTTGTTTTGTAAAAAGATTCCATAACTACAACAGATAAATGTAAAATTCTAAATCAACTATAACAGAGCTCGTTCGCGCGTTTTTTTTCTCTTTAATCGCCATCACTACGAAATGAAGATTTTATCGCAGTTACAATAAATTTGTCTTTGTAATTTAGCTCTGAAGATGATCTTGGAAAAGATCGAAAGTACTTTGGTAAAAAAAAACAAAAACAAAAAAACTACGGTGTCTTCCTTGATAAATTTCATCTTAACATCAAGAAACTGGTTAGAAAACTGGAAAGGATCAGTATAAAAATAAGTAGACACAATATGTCTATAGTATTCAATGAAGCATAATTGAATAGAGATATGCTACTTATATATATATATATATATATATATATATATATATATATATATATATATATATATATAAGTTGTTTCACCCCAAGCAAGGCGGGGGAAGCCACTAGGACGCAAGGGGTTACAGAAGATTTGGAGCAAGATCAGATAGGAGTGATAGAGGAAAGGATGAGGAGAAGGATAGTGGAGAGATCAAGGCAACTGGAGATGTCGATTGACATTACATTTGAATAGTTGGAGATTGTAGCTCTCAGATTCAAACACGGTTCGTCGCTTTCTCAATGCGAGTCGTGAACCATTACATTTACCACAAATCTTATTTCATGATAATATTTCTTCCTTTGCTATAAATCGAGATAAAACTTTCACTTTGTTCCCCTCTATTTCCATGTGTTGGGGGTGAAATGATTTATATATATATATATATATATATATATATATATATATATATAATAATTAAGTAATTCATCGAGTCTAGAAGAAACCTCAACAGAATGCAGAAAGCACTGGACGGCCGTTTCGTCCTATATTTGGGACTCATCGGCAGGGCGCATACCACTACCGAGAACTGAAACCCGAACAGTTACGATATTAGGCACCCACACAACAAAAAAATTAGCAGATTTTAAATTTGTTCTTATGTCTACACTTGAAAATTATTTCGTTCCGTTGATTTAACAGGTGGTTAGCATTTGTCTATTTAATTATTGCATATTTTTCTTGTAAACACAGATCGCATCTGTCCTGGAAGTGGTTGGGGGTTTCAGACCGACAGATGATTTCCCATTTGATTAGTGGGGTGAAACCACAATCTTTAATCTTCCAATAATGCTTGGATAGAGCAGTTTGGTGACTCAAGGAATGATTGTAGAAGGAATGTCGGTGAGTGTATAGTCTTTGCTTCCACTTTCCAGCGGATATCCCTATGTATGTTTTTTTCTGTCGTTGATGTTTTCTTTCGGAAAAATGGTAGCTTTCGCATTACAAGTAACTCCGACTGGGAAATTGGTCCCAGTTTTACAGTTACAAGAGGGTTTATTTTCTGCTGTTTTCCCATCATGGAATGCTTTTAGTATTTGGCTGTTGTGTATGCTAATAATGCTCTGCATGTTTTGTGTGCAGGAAAAACTAATTTTGAGAGTTTTTATATTGAAGATATTCTGTTGAGGGTTGTTTTGATTAAAGTGCTTGTTGACTAAGTTTAATATATATTTGTAGATTATTTTCAGATAGAGTGTCTGTAAAGGACCAAAATGAATAAAAAGACAAGAGGAAAAATATTCCTACTAAACGCGTTTCGTCCTCCGAGGGACTTTATCAAGGCAAATGTAAAGATTTATTTTGTTGCACTTGTTTATATACAAGGGCAAGAATGCCATTGGTTTATCCAAGTTTTTTCTCTTGTCTATAAACATATGAAAAATACTAAGTACTACATTTGCCTGAGAGGACGAAACGCGTCGGCTAAGAATAGTTTTATATATATATATATATATATATATATATATATATATATATATATATATATATATATATATTGCAGATATATATTTAAAAAACAGTATAAGTGTAGTTGTAAATCTTCGGCAGTTTTCGGACGTTTTCAAATGCTTTCGGCTATTATCGCTAATTTTTGACACGTTTCATATTTTCGCACGTTTATATAATTAACACAGATAAATCTCACTACACACACATACACACACATATGTATGTGTGTTCGAGCGTGTGTGTATGTGTGTGCAATCATGGATAGCTGTTTAGATATGGTCGAATATGTGTCATATTAACACCGATTTCGAGATAAGTATGTGTGAAAATGCCAGTTTTATGTGAGAATGGCATTTATTTTACTTTATTACCACATTAAGAATCTTCATTCTTATCATTCTATTCAAAAGACGAAACGATATTATCTATGAAGATATAAATTTCATTTACGGCACAACAGTACATGATAGATATAAACGAACGTCACGTTTGGGCAACGGCACGTGTACACGCGTCTATCTGCTTATATCAATGGCTAACAATGTCTATCTCAGGTATTTTCCCTCCCATTCCCAGTCTTTTCATATCTATCTATCTATCTATCTATCTATCTATCTATCTATCTATCTATCACATTCGATTTATATCTACGAATCTGTTCCTCTGTTGAAATCTCTCTTTCCCTTACTCTCTATTTATGAGTCGATTCATATCTACCAATCTGCTCATATCTATCAATGAATCTCAGCCTATTCATATCTATCTATCTATCTATCTATCTATCTATCTATCTATCTATCTATCTATCAGCCTGTTTATATCTATCTATCTATACCAGTCTGTTCCTATCTATCTATCTATCTATCTATCTATCTATCTCAGTCTGTTCATATCTATCATCTATCTATTATCTATCTATCTATCTATCTATCTATCTATCTATCTATCTATCTATCTCAGTCTGTTTATATCTATCTATCTATACCAGTCTGTTCCTATTCATCTATCTATCTATCTATCTATCTATCTATCTATCTATCTATCTCAGTCTCTTCGTATCTATCTATCTATCTATCTGCTCGTCAGAAAATCTATCTTAATTGACTTATTCACATTATTAGCAACTGACTGATTCCAGCCAGCCAACTAGCCGATTCTTTCGAAAAAGACCGTTCCCCACCCCTTCAAAATTTCGTCTGAAAACACTTTTTTTTCTTTTCTGTTTATCCTCAACAAAAGGAGCAAGAAAATGGCAAATTTTCGCGAAGAAGGAAAGAAACAAAGCCAAGAACTTCGCTCATAACGTTAGCAATCATTTGGGAGTTCCTATAAAATCCCTCACAATTAAGCGACCACGATCGTAAAAAGCTAACACCCATATTCCAAACCGATCTTTTTCGCTCTGAGAGTCGTAAAACTTGCTTAATGCCTGCGTCAATTGGTTACGATTACCGACGTCCAGAGTATGAGGGGGACTCGTAAAAACAGACGCGTCGGGGTAGGGGAAAATGGGCGTGATCGCGCGGCGTCTAGGGTGCCAGTCGACCATATGGACACGGTTTAGCCTATTGCGGGCAATGTAGAAGAGAGACGAATCTTTTTCGATCTCGTTTACCTAGAAAAAAAAAAAGTAAAAAAAAGAAAAAAAGACAGAGAAAGAGAGAGAGGCAGTCAGACAAGTCAGAGGTAAAAACAAAATGGCTGCACCTCTTTGTTAAAACGCCGGCATTGGCTGACAACAATTTTGTTTTTCTTGACCTCTGTAAGTCGGAGAGTTCCACATTCACTGCTTTGGCTTTCTCGCGTCCATTTGCAACACATAAAGTAAGAAATGCAAAGAAAAAACATAAACAAAACAAAAAGAAAAAGAATTGTGCGGAGGGCGGTCAGCAATGCTGTTTGTTCTGCCATATTACGTATCAGGAGAACATTTCCCCGCTTGTATTTTATTTTGTTTTAGTAAATAATGACTGAAGAATATTTATTCGGTGTCGGTGTGACTATAAATGTAAAACTAAAATCTATTTGCAAGGATTTGGTTTAATGTTTATTGAAAACTAATATCTGCTGAAAATTGCGTTTACACTCACTGACTTGTGTTTTATGCAAAAAGTAAATGATGTATTGCAAGAATTCCCTATAAATTATAGCCATTTGATGACATACTAATTGTGAGTTCAATCCCAGTATTGGTTAGTATAGAAAAAGGGCAAGTAATAATCGAACAGTACGTAAGTAAAAAAACAAAACAAAAAATACAAAAAAAACAAAACAAAACAAAACAAAAAAACAAAACCCCCCCAAAACTGATAAATTACGAATAAAAAAAAACAGTGCTCAATACAGAAGTAGAGCCTAAATTATAATTATTTTAAAAAAATATGATTCCTTCGCTACATAAGAGTTCTCATGTTTCAAAAACAGGAGCCAAAAACCTCAATATAATTATTAAAATTCAATTGAATTAAAGTATCAAGCTCTGCTTCATCCTTAAGCGTAATTTTTGGAATAATTATTTATTTGTACGTTTGTACAAAATGTGGCACAAGGCCAAAAAGGGGGTTGGGGAAGGAAGGTCTTCTTCTGTCTTAATTCTAAACTTAGCTAGTCACAGACACGGACCCAAACATACCAACAATATTCCTATCACCAAAACAACACATTCACTCCTACCTTTCTTACTGCGTCCACCATAATACCTCAAATTCTCCATGAAATCCTAACTAGTCCCCCATATGTACATTTCAAAGTCTGTGTGTGTGTGTGGGGGGGAAACAACAATTTAAAAACTAATCTTGAAATTTACGCAGCTTTATAAGCATATTCATTCGTAAAATTACTATGTAAACGGCTAAAGGAATTATTTCAATAAGGGGCGTAAGAGTTAACAATTTCTGTCAACATATTAGTTACTTTCGGAAAGAGGTCATGTCAAGGTAGGGTCGGGGTGTCTATTTTAAAGCGAATGATGACATTCATTAGACGCATATCGTCTAGTCTGTTTCAGTGACAGAGAGTTATTGGCATTATTATTGTTCCGCCGTTAAATGTCTATTTTTTTCTAAAAGGGTTGTATATATATACATATATATATATATATATATATATATATATATATATATAGAGAGAGAGAGAGAGAGAGACAGAGAGAGAGATTTTGTAGGTTAATACACCTTTAAAATTTTGTTAGCGAAGGGATTTCGCCATTTTATATCATTAACTTTACTAATCTACATTTTGTATAGATGATTCATTGTAATATAAATTGAACTGCACCACATATTTGATTTAAAATAACTGATCCGACGTGCAATTTTTTGGGATAACAACTGAGACATTACTCTATTTATTGAACTATTTAATTCATGTCATATTGACTGATAAACTCCTACAACAAAAATTTAGTAAAAAACGCACTCTTTTAAATTTTGAAAAAAAATCAACCTTAGCGTTGCGACCGCACGCTCCAAATGTTTGTATCCGTTAACAATAACACATTTCAAAAGAAAAATAAATTCGATTCGCATTATATTTTTTCGTTTCGGATGCTACCTGAATTTTAACAAAAACAAAATAATTTCCATGCCTGAAGATGACTGAATGTACAGTTGAAAGTACTTGCGTATTAAAGAAAGACCTTATACAGCTTATAATTTTAAAAATCAAGGATCATAACATTCATCGAGTGATTTGTAGGTTAATGCACCTTTAAAACTTTGTTATCATTAACCTTACTAATCTACTTTTTGTATGAATGATTCATTGTAATATATATATATATATATATATATATATATATATATATATATGATGGACTCTTCCGTTGTATGAGGGTCAAGCAACTAAGTTCTTAGGAACCGACAGCCCAGACACCAGCACATATGATTTGATTATAGTGGTGAAGGTTTTGTGCAGAACCAACCACACTTTTTGAATGGCCGAATACACATAATTGGTGCACTACGTTCCACAAGGTCCCCAAACAACCCTCTGCATGTTTTGAATTCAGAGTCTATCCTGCTATTTACCCATAGCTGGCGGGAGAAGAAGAGAATTAATACCTTTCGCAAGGGTATTAGCACATAAGAGAATGTAATGGATTCGACTGGAATTCGAACTCGGCTCTCCGATTCCTCATAGCCGACACACACACACACACACACACACACACACACACACACACACATATATATATATATATATATATATAAATTCAATTTTATAGATATGAGTTCTATCAGTGATATTGAGTACTTTCAACTAAGTACTGCGCACAATATATATATATATATATATATATGTGTGTGTGTGTGTGTGTGTGTGTGTATGTATGTGCGTGAATTTTTAAACAAATATATGATCAAGTAACGATAAGTTACTTTTACATATATAAAAGCATTTTATATACATTTTGAAATACTTATAAATGAACGCAAATGTATAAACATTCTTTCTCACTTTGGACACTTCGATATGGTGTAATGGTTAACAAGCTTTTCTCGCTAGATCAATTACGACTGTATAGTGAGTTCGATCCTCACTGGGCGTCCCAAAGTTTCAGTTTTGATTAGGAAATCACCATATCAGCTATATATATAGATATAGCTTTCATAGTTAATTTTCTATTTCTGAAACGAACTCTATCGGGTTGATAGGACAGATGACCAATATTTTCGTCTGCATATATATATATATATATATATATATATGCGGTACATTAGAAAACGCTCAATATCAGTGATAGATATATATATATATATATATATATATATATATATATATATATATATATATGTATATGATTATAACTAAAGATGGTCCATTTGCTTCTTATAATATGTAGATTTAATAGACCTCTCAATGAAATTTGAAGAATAAAAAAAAGACAACAAAATGGTAAATAATATTGGCCATAAGATTGATGATATATATATATATATATATATATATATATATGAAGAAATATAGTTTTAATATGTGCTATATTTATGGAATAAAGTGCTCCATATCAGAGATAGAGCGTATGTAAATATAAATATAAAAGTAAACATTGAAGTCAACACTCTCAGAGGCGACAGGCTGTTTTATGCTGGACGCAATTTATATATATATATATATATATATATATATATATATATATATATATATATATATATATTTGTAGGCCTTTTACTAAATTTGCTAACGAAAAAGAAGATTTTAAAGTCAGAATTTTCTGATACGCCTGGGTTCATTTTCAAGGAGACGAAATATATCTACTAATTATCGGAATTATAATGAAGGTAAATAAATACTATATTCTGACATACGAAATATATATTTGCTAAACAAAAGACTTAAATACGCAATAAAACTTCCACACAATAAAACTTCTACACATACAGAGACGCACACACATGCACCTAGAAAAACAGACACACACCCATATTTACATGTGAGCTACACTACAAGATCTCTCTTTCCCAACATCCCAAATGTTTAAGACTTTTTCTCCTAGATTTAATTCCGTCAATTTATTTTCCATTTCCTGTTTCCCATATTTTATTCAGCCTCTGCTATCGCGGACCCAATCTTTTATAGTCAATCAGCCCGACATTTTGCGGCCGATTCTCGAGTGGTTTGGTCAATCAACGACATATTGTGAATCTCAAGTGGTTCTGGTGGAGACTCACTTCATCAGCTTCATTAAAGGGTGCGTGGGAGGAGGGATGCAAGTTTTCTTAATGCTGACCCCCAAACCACTCTATCCGACCCAACCTCAGATTATGAGAAAGGAAACTTTTTTTTTAATCCATTCCTGGAGTAATGGCGTTGTTTTCATTGTTTGTTTTTTACCATTTTCATTTAATTCTTATCCGTTCTTAAAAGCGAATTTTTTGAAGTCCTAATTTTTTTCTTTCGTTTATAAGAGATATGGAATCAAGTTCATTAAGAACTGAAAAAATGATTTTTCAAAGATCTATGGAATCGGTGAAAAAAGGTGACTTATTTCTGATTAAATCATCTATCTATATTTTTTTCTTTTATCGGAAAATATGGACGTTCTGTGCCTATTAAATTTAACCCTCGTCTTTTTAAGCTGCGAATTACTTTCCGCAAATCTGGCTGCTGCAGAAAACCAAAAACATATTGAAAATCAAGGCTGTGTCCGAGGTTTCGACTCACATGAGTCATCATCAGAAGATGTAAACCATTAAGTAAACAAATACAAAAGTATTTCATGTGGGACATCTTAAAGTTTCGTTATATTTTTTAAATATTGAATCGGATAAATTCAAACGCAGAGACTTTCAGCGTATGAGCTACGGTAAAATGTATATTAGTCTTATGTGATGACGTCTTTTTTTGTGGGGGGAGGGGAATGTTATCTTTTATTGTATGACAATCATTTAAATGATGTCTTTTATTGTATGACAATCATTTTTGATGTTATCTTTTATTGTATGACAATCATTTAAATGATGTCTTTTATTATATGACAATCAATTTTGATGTTATCTTTTAGTGTATGACAGGCATTTAGATCTTATCTTTTATTGTATGACAATCATTTAAAATATCTTTTGGCGTATGACAATCATTTAGTTATTATCTTTTATTGCATGACAATGATTTACATCATGTCTTTTATTGTATGACAATCATTTAGATTTTATTTTTAGTTTATGACAATCATTTAGATGTTATTTCTTATTGTATTACTAGCAATTAGATGATATCTTTATTGTATGACAATCATTTAGATGTTATCTTTTATTGAGTGACAATCATTTAACTGACATATTTTATCGTATGACAATAATTTTGGATGTTATCTTTTAGCGTATGACAATCATTTAGATATCTTATAATGTTTGACAATCATTTAGCTGTTATCTTTCATTGTATGAGAATCATTTAAATGATGTATTTTATTGTATGGCAATCATTTTTGATGTTATGTCATACAATAGTATGACAATCATTTAGATGTTATCTTTTATTGTATGACAATCATTTGGATGGTATCTTTTATTGTTTGACAATCATTTAACTGATGTATTTTATCGTATGACAATCATTTTTGATGTTATCTCTTATTGTATGACAATCATTTAGATGTTATCTAGAAATATATAGAATAGACTGAATCCCTCAACATTTTCATCAATTGAAATAAAACATGTAAAACTTTAATATTCAATCTTTTTATAATTATTCTTTATTATAATAATGGCTTTATTAATTCCCCAAAATTAACTGTAGTATTGCTTACGGTCAAATCACGCTGAATCACCGGTTCTCGTTCGATCACCGAAGTTAAGCATCGTAGAGCCAGGTCAGTACTTAGATGGGGGACCGCTTGGGAACACCTGGTACTGTAAGCCCCCAAAGTCCAACCCTTACCTCACAGTCGGTGTGGGGGGGGGGGTGTAAACGGTAGTGTCAGAGCTATGCCGTCCGGAACTTCGTTCCTAGCAGGGCCACCCAAGGCGGACAGGTCTGACACACACGCCGGTTCCTAGCAGGGCCACCCAAGGCGGACAGGTCTGACACACACGCCGGTTCCTAGCAGGGCCACCCAAGGCGGACAGGTCTGACACACACGCCGGCTAACAAGGGCTCTGGTGAAAATCCAAGGAGCGTCTGCATCGGTAACCGGCGGCTTCTGGTCGTTCCTGTCTCTGCGTCTGTGGGAATCCCGCGGCAAGCAAGAACGTTATCCGAGTAGGCCTGGGTACCCTACTTCTGTAATTTATCCCAAGAATCTTCTTCTCATAACAGGAAGAAGCCGGCTCAATCCGCCCAGGGTGAATGCCGCATCAGTACAGTAGTAACTGTAGTATTGGTTTGAATAATATTTAGTAATTTCGAACGGGCTTCATTATTATAATTTTTATGGTGATTACCTTTGCTTTATGACTTATGAATTTGCCCCTAAGTCTCAATTAGAAACTTGAAGAGAAAACATGTTTTTTTTTTTTTGTTTTTTTTTATTTATTTATCAGAGCCTGCCAACAATTAAGGTAACCAATCAAGGAGAAAGAAAAATAACTGTGTTTATTGCATGGAGCGAAAGACGAGCAAGATGTGAGAAATACCAGTGAGTATGATTTTTTGCAGTTTATATACGAGGGTAAGTCAAATATTATCTACGCTTTCGCCATAACATATCTTTACGTTTGTCACACTGCCTTCTATTCATGCGTGCTTATAGTTGGTACAATTGTGGTCACGTGATCGATGTTTGAGCTTGATCGTGCCATCTTTCTTGCTGCTGTCATAGTGTAAATATGGCCGCTTCGCTGGCAATGTGACCCAAAGAGAAAGAAAGAACAAAGATTTCTCTGGTCGGAAGGTGTGTCAGGAGCTGAAATTTATCGGAGGATTTCAACACAATACGGTGACTCTGAACTACTAAGTGTGTATGTGTGGATCGAGAAGTTTAGAAGTGGCCGGACAATTGTGACGCACGAAGAAGGAGCAGGACGCCCGTCGACCTCGACCGCTGATCCAGCAAGCGCGAGAGATGGTGATGGCGAACCGGTGAGTTATCATCGATGAAGTAGCCTGTTTTCTGTAGATTCGGTCGCTGCTCTTGTTTGGTGTACACTGTTAGCGGAGCGGCCATGTTCACACTGTAACAGCAGCAAGAAAACTGGCACGATCAAGCTCAAATTTCAATCACGTGACCGCAATATTACCAAGCGTAATGAAAAGGAAAGCGGGTTAAAATTTTGGATTGGTTCTCTCTTGTGTGAATCAGGAGTGATTGGTCTGTCCAGTGACTGTCGAATCCTTCTCCCGTCGTAATAGTATTGAAAAATCGATTCCACACACTGTGAACATAATTTAGTCTTGAAGTCCTTTGTAATTACACAGCCAGGAAAATATTTCTTATCACTCCCAATGAAGAAAAGTTTTGACATCGGGAGGAAACTAAAATATAATCTACCCAGGCTCGGTTCAAGGTAGATATTATCATAGTGCTTACAGTGAGCTATAGTTGCAGCATATTCAGGGGTGTACCCGGGCTGGCGATCAGTTTTTGATGGAAATTTTTTCTCAAAGTCTTCAATAATTTTAATTCGATTATTTTTAATAGTATTTTCTGGTTTGTGCAAAATACCGATTACCGTAATTTCTCGAAAATATACGCACCCATAAATAATACGCACCCCAACAAATGATCAAAAATTAAGAAATATATCTATCTCTATGTATAATAGGCATCTATTAATTTTGTCAAAAAAAAAAAAAAATTACGAAGACGTTTTGCCGACCATGACATTAAGAATAAAAATCGAAACTAAGCGGTTAAAACAATGTTGAAAATTACCATCGCGCTTTTCCCGATAAATGTCAGTGAGGACGTTATAAAGAGAGGTTTTGAAGAAATGTTGTCTCACGACAGCCATGGATGGCTCTGAAGATGACATCCTTTGGCAAGAGAATGAAAAAGCCGAAGATAATTTTGAACAGAATGAAGAAAAAAAAAAACAAAATAATTGCGAAGACATTTTGTCGACCTTGACATTAAGAATAAAATCGAAAGTAATAATGTTTAAAATTCAGTCAGTTATGTGCCATGCGTGATACACGCTTAGGTGATCATGTAACTTTCGATACATGACTGACGAGGCAGATTTTTTCCCGCAGTAGGTTGCCATTTCTTTCTGCGGTATACCAGTTGCCATTCAAGGCTAGAGAACCTAGACTGTCCTGCTATTTACCAATAGCTGGGGGGAGAAGAAGAGGATTCATACCTTTCCCAAGGGTATTAGCACGTATGTGAATGTAATGGATTCGAGTGGATGTTGAAAATTACCATGCGCTTTTCCCGATAAATGTCAGTATGGATGTCACTAAAATAGAGGTTTCAAGAAGTGTTGTCCCACAGCAGCCATGGATGGCTCTGAAGATGACATCCTTTGGCAAGAGAATGAAAAGGCTGAAGATAATTTTGAACAGGACAAAGATATTGTGAATGATAATTTGTTTAATGATAATTTAGATATTGATTCTATAATAAAAAATGGTGATGATGATGATGAAAATTAAAATTTCAGTAAATTGTTAACTTAATATCCTCTTTTCTTCGAAATTGGCCTTTTTATAGATTTTTTTTTTCGACAAATAAAAAATACGGTTACTGATAAACATAAATTTATTGACTAAAAAGATGTTACAGTTATTATTGTTGGATTTAAAATGAAAATTGGGATATCTTTCTTATTTTATAACAAAAAGTACGTATTTATTATTATAAATCAATAACGAAAAAATATTTTTGTTTAAACCTATTTATAATACGTATTTGACGGCGTATAAGACGCCCCGGTGTATAAGACGCACTCCAATTTCAGCAGGGCAAATCAAGAAAAAAGTAGTAATTAGTAAAATTAGTAAAATTATTAGTAAATGGTACAGCCTAGGCTATATTTATGAGGTATTATTTTGGTTAAACAAGCCATGATTACAATTAAATGAAAAATAACAGGAAAAAAGAACATGAGCCTATAAAAACTTTATTATATCCAAAGGTACGAAAAAACAAAATAAAAATCAAGCAATTATTACAATTGAGCAAAACAGTACAGTTACCATTAAAATTCAGTCAAAAATTTTCCTTTATATGATCTGTACAACCTGCGTCTTATAAAAAACTTAGTGGAATAATTAGGATATAAAATTTCAGATTGTATTTATACCAATGCAACCAGAAGTTATCGCAAGAAAAATATTAATGAAACAAATATATTTTATAAATATATAATTTGAATTTATTGCATATAATTTTAGTGAAACAAAGTACTAATATTAAACGTCATGAAATTCATATAATGAATATTATCATTGATAACACTTTTAATCTACATAATAGCCTGTTAAATAATGACAATAGGTATGTGAAAATTACTCTAAAGCCTAAGCTAATAGGAGTTGCTAGGTAGCTAATTTCAGCCGACTATCGTGAATTTTAAACCTACATATGGCATATAAGACGCAGGGGAATTTTAAAAGATATTTTTAGTAAAAAAAAAAAAAAGAAGAGGTGCGCCTTATATGCCGTCAAATACAGTATTTTTGTTTATTTAAATTTAGAATAATAATCTTTTCGAGTAGCAAAAATCATTGTTGGTTCCACTTATTATTACCGTGACGTTCACGTCCTCGTGTTTCTTAGGTGAAAGCCTCGTTTTGGAGCAGACATCAAAGTCCGTTGCAAACACACTGGTGTGAGAGAGGTAAGTCTTTTCCTCTTAACAATCTTACATCTTAGTGTTACAGTCGAAGCAATCAGAATTTATTGGTGTAACCATAAAACAACGAGAATTAAATATCGTAACTATCAATCCACTGACGACGATATAATATTGCCGGCAAGGAATGCTCTGTTTATAACAATTTTCTTTTATCGGTTTTGCCATTAATTATAAAGTAAATATTAAAATGAGTTATAACTAATTTCCGATTTGGGGTAATATCGGAAATATCAGGTTGTAATATCGGATGTATCATCATAACTTTTAAGGCATGATGGAGTAATGGATAGCGGCTCGGTTTGAGGAATCGGAGAGCCGAGTTCGAATTCCAGTCGAATCCATTATATGCACTTACGTGCCAATACCATTGGGAAAGGTATGAATCGTCTTCTTCTCCCCCCAGCCATGGTCAAATAGCAGGATATACCGGCTTCTATAGCCTTGTATGGCAATTGGTCTACCGCAGAAAGAAATGGCAACATACAGCGGGAAAAATCTGCCTCGTCAATCTTGTATCGAAAGATACATGATTGTCTGTGTATCACGCATGCTAAATAACTGACTGATATTCACTTACGTACGCTTGGGAAAACGTATGAATCCTCTTCTTCCCCCCAGCTATGGGTAAATAGTAGGACAAACCGGGTTCTATAGCCTTCGATGGCAACTGGTCTACCGCAGAGTGAAATGGTAACCTACTGCGGGAAAAATTTACCTTTTCAGTCATGTATCGAAAGATACATGATCACCTAAATGTGTTTCACGCATAACTGACTGATCGTTATAACTAACTTGAATATATTATAACAGGTGAAAAAAAATGAGTTACATATGACAATGTACATCGACAAAGGCAACAAAGTGTGGCAAAAAGTTTTCCTACACAAGTTCTCCAGCTATGGAATCACAGGAAGGTATTTCTCTATTATAAAACAATTCCTAACAGGAAAATCCCTGAGGGTAGTTATTAACTGCCAGTCCTCCTAGGCCCTGACGTTCAACGCAGGCGCTCATCCCGCAGGGGTCACTTCTCGGACCAATCCTCTTTCTGAGGTACATAAATAATCTACCTAAGAATATATTCCGATCATTTCTAATTAACTGTGTCGATGATACGAC